CCCCCCCCGCCTGCCCCGCCAGCAGGCCTCCTGCCCACGGAGGGCACCCAGTGAGCCACCAGAATGGTCCCGCTCCCACTGCTCATGCCACCCGCCGGCCCCAAACCACTTCGGGAAGGGTACATGGGCCACCTTGGCTAGGAAAGCCCTTCCCCAAGGAGCTGGGGCATGGGGACCCACATGCCCCCAGCACAGCCTCCCACTGCTGGTCTCGTCACCTGGGAGGGGGTCGGGGCCCCCCAGCAGGCAGAGCCCCGCGACCATGGCCTTGTGGTGCTCGCAGCACAGGTAGCTCTTGTCGATGGCTGCAGGTGGCTCAGCGGGGTTGGGTTTCTTCTTGTCCTTTCTCCGTTTCTTCTGGCCTGAACGACAGGAGGCATCGGCTGGTAAGGCAAGGTGGGAGACAGGGGTGCTTTCTGGGGACTAGCCACCCCCAGCCCCTGTCCTACCCACAAGGCAAGCAGCGGAGTGTAAAAACGCTCCCATAGCTGCTCCGGGACAAGGCAGGCAGGTCCCAGCGGGACTTTTATCTTCCTCCTGTATCGATCTCACTCTCTGCCACCCCAAAAAGTCACCCTTGGCCCCTGCCCCTTCCCGGCTGCACCACGTACCTGGGGGAGGCATGGGGGCCAGAAGCCGAGCCTCCGACTGCACCACATTCCTGTTGCGGAGGAAGATGAGGCGGCGGAAGTAGGAGGTGCCGTCTCCCTTCACGTCCTCCACCACGTACTCCCCGCTCAGGGGGCTGGTGTCACGGTGCCGCACCGTCCGCACCCCGATGTCCCCTCCCACGGACAGGAAGGGCACCTGCAGAGAGGACAGGGACTGGTGCGAGGAAGGAAAGGCTACAGGAACAGACCCTGGCATTCCCGCTGTCCTGACCACGGCTAAAGGGCCGGGACAAAGCGGACACAGCGCAGGAGCAGCAGGATACGCCGTAGGCAGCCACAGCAGAGCTGGGGACCAGCACGTGGGACACCAGCTTCCCTCCCATACACATGTGTTGGGGTACAGGGAGCAAACACCCCAAGACTTCTTGCAAGAGCTCAGGTTTGGGGAGTTGGGGCAGGAAGGAGAAGACAGAAGGGACAGGAGAAGTTAAAGCCAGGATTAAGAAGGGGCCGGATGCTCTCAGGGTTTTGGGCGGGATGCCTGGTTTTCTTGGGATGCTGGGTTTTGGAGGGCAAGGACTTCACACTGAATCCTGCCACACAGGCACCTCAAATCCTGCCTCCAGGCAAAGGCAGCCTGCTGGAGGGAAAACCGCAAGGGCAGCCTGCTGGAGGGAAAACCGAGGAGCTACACCTGAGGCCAGTCTCCTCCCCACCAAGGCAGCCAGCTCACACGTCACAGCTTCGTCTCCCTTGGAGAAGAGGGACTCGCTGCTGGTGGAGAGCCAGCCTGGCCCCAGTTTTGGGGAAGCCAAGTGAGGGGGCCGGGCGGCAGGGCTCACCTGCTGCCGGGCAGGGAGGCCCGGTGGGGCCAGCTCCATCACCTTCCCCGACAGCTCCACCTGGATGCCGGCCATGCCCTCGTAGTGCTGCTCCCTGTGCAGGGCCACAGTGACCAGGCGCCCGAAGCCCGCGCTGGCGGCCAGCTGCCTCCGCCCCTCCTCCGTCCCAAAGAGCCACTCGGTTTCTCTGCCCTGCGGGACTGCAGAAGGGGCAGCCGTCAGCCTGGGCCAGTCCCAGTCCCTGAGCAACCACCCCAGCCTCCAAGAGAGGAGCCACAGGGAATAGCAACACATCACGAGGAGGTACCACTGCATGCCTAGAGCCGTGCTCTGCAACCATCAAGAGAGCCAGGACCTTCCCCGTTTTGGGCAGGCTCATGCAGGAGGCTGGAAAAGCCACATCTCATAAGAAGGGGGCATCCAACAGCCTCACGACCCATCTCCAGGCTGTGCTAAGCCCCAGCTTTGCAGGCGCGCAGGGAGGGAACAATGCTGCTGGCAGAGCCTGGCATGTCTCTGCGAGGTACAAGCGCAAAAGCGAAGCGCAGCCCTGAGCAGCCTGGCCCTGGCAAGTCAGGACGCCCACGCAGACCAGCGACGCCTTTCCGGCTGCATCCACTGCGCTCTGGCTTTATGCGGAGTCGTGCTATGGCAGCTGTCACCAGCATCAAGGCAGGAATCACCACCTTGGAGACGGGGCAGGCAGCGTCCCTCTGCTGCCAGATGGGCATCCGCTCAGCGGCAAGCTCTGTGCCAGATCTCTGCTTGCACCAGGCAAACACATGTCCCGCCGCAAAGCCAGGACTAAAACATCAACCGAACCCCGCACAGGCGGGTTATTTCCCTCTCCAGCCCTGATTTCAGCAGGGCCAGGACTGCTGGCCATTTTGCATCTCCTGGCCAGAGCACCATCTCATTGCAGGCCCGAGAGGCTGTACTCACTGATGAAGATGGCGAAGTGATTGTCCCGGGAAGGTTTCACCGAGAGGCTATCGACTACATGCAGCGTGTAGCGAGGCCTCCCGCTCTCTTTGTCACACAGATCCAGGGAAACCTGCTCTCTGCAGGGGGTTTTGCTCAGCTGGCTGCAGAGCAGGGCGTAATGCTGCCTGTCCTTCACCGCCGCCACCAGCCGCTCTGCGCTCTCCACCCGCATTGGCTTGTCCTGCTCCTCAGGGCAGATCTCCAGGATCTGCGATGCCGAGCCAGGAATCTTCCTGAACTTTGTCATGACGTAGACAAAGACTGGTAGGACAAACTGCTGCTTGTCCCCACTGCCAGCCACCTGATGGACACGCACGACCCAGCCTTCCTGGGAGAAGTATTCCACCGCTTTCTTCAGCACGTGGGCTTGAGCCAAGGAGACACAGAGGTAGCGCCCTCCTACCTGCAGAACCCGGCTGATCTCGGCAAACATCTTGTCCACCTTGGCTAGCGTGGCCTCCTCTTCGTTGGTGAGGACGGCATCCAGCGTGCCTTTGTCCAGGACCACCTGGAAGTGGGCGTCGGGGAAGTCCATCTGAAGCATGTCCATCAGCAGGTACCTCATCTTCGGCCTCTTGCTCCCTTTCCGCTCTTGCATCTGACGGATCACTGCATCGCTGATGTCGATGTTCACGATGTCCTCGCACATCCCCACGTCGTACATCTGCTCGCTCAGCTCCGAGTTCCCGCAGCCCACCACCAGCACCTGGGGAGCGGCACAGTGGTGAGAACGCCCCGACAACGCACCCCAAAGCCTTTTACGAGCAAATATCAGCCACGGCCACGAGCCTTCTGTGAAAACCACACCCGCAGCAGCTGCAAACCCACTCTCCGGGGCCCCGAGATAACATTCCCATATAGAAAAGTCACGCGGGCACAGAAGCGATGCATCTGCTGCATCTCTTTTGGGGATGATGTGGGCGTTTTAGCTCCCCGAGCTCCCCGTCCCAGCGCAACTCATGGCTCTCTCCCGTTCTCTTGCTACGGCGCGCTGGGGGCTTCCCATC